AGAGCAAGACTGAACACCTGTACGCGGTGTCCTCTACGAACCTGGGAGTGAAATATTCTCCCAGAGCCAAGTTCAGTCATATTTCGCAATATCAAAGAAGTTGGCCCACGAGGCAATGATTCATATTACTCCTCCACGTCGTTTTTTCGCTCCCAAAGAGTTTGACTCCTACCCAAGTCTCATCAAGTCTACAAGTACGACCAAGTACATCATCCCAATGACCACACCTCTCTTCGACCTTCTCTCGCCTCAGTTGACCACCGAATACACGCCCACGCCGATATTTATACCCGACGGAGGAAGCAAAGCGTGGCGCACAAATCTGAGAGAAAGTTCTTCGGGATGGACGTGAGAGGTATAAGGACAAGTTTACAAGATGATGCAAAGGAAGCACTTAACATCGAAGGGCGTGAGATTCCGAATTTTGGCAAGGAGTTTCTACAAATGGAGCTTTGTGCGCGCAAAGACTTCGCTTGCGAGAGTGCAGGTGACACTATAAATACAAGCAAACAATGGAAAGGGTCGTGGTCCGCTCACTGGTGGTGTTCTCTGGTATAGTCTGAGTAGACTGGGCACCTACTTCACTTGGGAAGGAGACGTCTCAGACCATATTTCGTGCGGAGAAATGTTAAAAGATGATGGAGGCAAGTCTGGATAACTCAGGGTATTTGAGACGTTTCCCTAGGTGGGTATTCACGGATGAGGGTTGGCCTGGGGTGAAGGAAAAGCTACCATAACTTCGCATTGGTACTTGCAAATGAAATCCGAGGCATGAGTGCTCTTCTTATAAATTGGATCATCTATCGTGCACTTTTCTTTGATATTGTGTCATAGCTAGATAGCTGCATACGCAATTAAAATCTGATGCAAAAAAAAATAACTGTCCTACCACAATACTTATCCATTTAACCTCGTAATTACAACAGAAAGCAGTTTTATCAGGTGGCTAAGGTGGGGAGTTAGTACTAGTATCCGCAGACATAAAGGATAGAACGCGACGCGGTGAGTTAGCTTCCCAAGTAAAAATTATCAATTCCCATCGAGCTATGGACTCTCAAGATTTCTTTTTGAATTTGATTTCAGTAACCTGATTTGGAGCATTGTGGGCCCATGTAGGCGGCTATAAACTTATCTATTTATTTACATGAGGGGGAAACCATTACGATAATAACCCCCTTCCTCTATTAAGCTTTATATATCTGTAATCATTTGTTATATACAATAAGTGCCATTGGCCGTCAATTCGAGACAGGACTAGTTAAATTATACCTCTCCATCCTTTCCCTACCCTTGCGTGCCGAAAAGTGATGACTATGGTCTTGAATTCGACCCTAATGGCGTAAATTGTTGTAGGTTTGGGGCTGGGACCAGAACTTGTTTGCGTGGGCGTCAAATTTCTCTCTCGAGTACCTCTGGCTTTTAGTTGAACACAAGTGTGAACTCTTGGTCGTCTGCTTGTTTTGCCACCGCTATTAATGTATTGGACGTGTATGTATCGCTTTCCTTTCTTAAATCCGCCGTCTTCTCCATGAATCCATACCGTGCCCGCTGAACGCTGGCTTTGTATGCCCCGAAGCTTGTAAACGACTCTTTTTGCCACGAAAAATAGGCCTTGCCACAGTTACAGCATGGCATCGACTTACTCGGGTAGTCTCCGGTCTAATAGGTGCCCGTATACCCTCCATACCTCCTGGCCTTATTACAGGATACTTGGGTATGCCCCCACTCGCTGCAGTTGAAGCACTGCTTGACTTGCGCTCGGGGTGACCAGAGCTGGGCCATTTATGGTATTGAATCCATTACAATGTCATTTCTGATTAATTCGCGTTGAAGAGCCTCTGTCGGCAGGCTTGTGATTACTGACCCTCGAATAGGGCCATTTTTCCTCATCCAAGTATGCTGTTTGCCGTCGTAAAGCCACCTCACCCTGGTTATTTGGATTTCATCAAGCTGAGATTTTGTCTCCGTTTTCATCTTAAATATTGCCACGCTCTTGTTTGCGTTCTTTCTCCCATGTATAATCGTCTCCAGTGGGACTCCTAAAATTTCGACAGAATAATCTAGCTTTAATACGCAGAACCCCTTAGGCTGCGCCATCCTTAAGGCAACGTCTCGCTGTGAGACCGACTGCACAAACACCTCTATGTCGATATTCCTTAGATGCCTCACGGTATATGGCCCATTGATATGTAATTTTACCCTGTTAAGCAGCTCTGCCGGCTGCATCTTGTCTATTCCTTCGACTCGTATCCGTACTACCGCTTTGGTCGCTGGCGGTGCGACGATCGAGGCGTACGTGGGTCGTCCTCCCATTACTTGTGCCGACTATTGAGCCGTCTTATGGACCGGCTTCTCGAGACTCTCCTTTACTGACTTTTCAAAGTCCAACATCCAATCTTCCATTGCCATAGTCTTGAGCTTCGATGGTAAAAACGTCGCGTGGGACCTTAGGGCAACAAGAGCTTCATCTATTTCCATCATCGGTGTCGCAGTAATATTAGTTCCTTCTATCACCAGCTTGTCTCGAACCTTGTTTAAATAAAACCCTGTTTTCTTCAGATTCTCCACCTTAGTGTCTGAAGAGTTCGCGGGATACTCTAGAGCCTACACTACGGCTGTTCCGCTGTCCGTTGGTGGTTTGGGTGGTGTCGTGAAAAAATTTGCAGCCGCGAAATTCTCCCTACTGTTTTCCCAACTCACCATGCCGGAGCGCAACGAAAAAAATCGGGGAGTCAGGAAATAATAGTCTATTTGGATGATAACAATAATCCAAACGATGAAATGACGTTCGTGGAATATGGTGCCGATTTTCGTGAAAAATAATCTTTTTTCCTTTCAAGTACTTCTAGATTCTTTTAAATTTTCATAATTTTATCTATTTCCAAAGCTTCAACAGCCCAGCAGTTCCCACATCTTATCTCATGAGCTTTAGTTTTTTCGCCGGACATTTATGCTCAGGGACCCGAGTTTTGAGTCTAACGATAATTCCCCATCGACATCAGTGATGGAAGTAATGTTCTCATGTCGTGTTGTAGGCTTTTCGACATGAAATAAGGACTTAAAACATTGTTTGGTGTATTATGGGGTAGTGCAACGATCATTTTAAACTAATAAACGGCTTAAATGGTCTTGAAATTTTTTTCGTAATTCGTGAAGTCTGGAAGTCTGCAATCTGGGAGTTCGACCAAAATTAGCGCTGCAGTGCACTTCATGACAAGACTCTCAGTCAGTCATAATTCGATTCGACCTTTCGGGGATGGCTGAACCCTGGCTCTGGGAAATATTTCATTCTCAGGTTCGTAGTAGATACCACTAACAAGTTTCTGGCCTTCGTCCTCAGTCTAGGGGTAATGGGGGAGTAATTTTTCATCTAACGCCAATTAAGCTAACGAGCAGAGCCCAACCTATGAGCCTTCAGGAGGGGGCTTGAAGCAGCTGCGCGGTCAAAGTCAGCCAGATATCTATCATCCTATCGAAAAGCTAATATATCTACATAAGAAGCTCAGCAGTAAGGTCTAGGGGTAGTATTCACCTACTTGTGTAAACGAAGCTAGTCAGACAACATGACCTTCCTAGCAGAACAGAGTTTTCCACTGTAGCAGTAGGGCTTCTGGTCAACATTTACACCTTAATACCGTGTCTCACGTAGCTTTCTTATGAGCTGATAACGGAGTTTTATTTAAATTGCTATCGAACGGACTGTTATTTAACCTTCCGAGTTGGACATGAACATTGGTTTGGGTCTTTGAGGACCCGGGAATATGACGTAGTGCCAGCCCAGGGCTTGGTTAGATCATTATAAGATTGATTACTCTCCAACAAGCTGCCAGTACTAATTCAATCATATTTTGTCCCAAGTACACGTACTCATCCAGCATAGGTTCTGGTCCATCTAGATTCTAGCAAAGACTTTGTCACTAGCATGAAAGTTAAAGTGAATTACGGGTTTCCTCTCTCTCTAGAATTTTCTGACAAGGTCATGTTAGAAACTTAGTCCTCATATAAATACCACGCTACGTCCCAAGGCTTGTTAAGAAGATTGCTCGTTGGGCACACTGATGCGAGACCTAGGCAAATTTGCTTTTAGGAATTTGACTGTTGAGCGGAAGGAAGCTATTATCCTGGAATTTCCATATCAGGCCGTAGTCCAGCCGCACGATCTGCGTCCTGGATGGCGACAGGGTGAGCACCAAAGCTACAATAAAAAATGGTAATTAATTTCCCTAACTTGATCCAGTTATTATGGTTTAGCGCGGGTAGGACCCACCGGCCAGGCAACCCCGCTTGCTTGTTACTATATGCATATGACTGTCTTGCTAATACAATCTTCTTTGCTTTTCGTGCGCCTGTGGGTCGCATTCCCAACACAGCTACGTCATGGTCACTCCTAGCACCTTCCGAAGCTGTTCATGACACTGATCCATGGGCATTCCACGTTTTCCCCAGTTCACGTAAGCTTCTGCGTCTAAACTACCGGTGTGCAGGAAGAATTGACTCGCAAGCTTTGGAATGGTCTCGTTGCAGTATAATGGTATGTATTATCTAATCAGGAACGTTCCTTCTACATACACAAATAAAGATATCACGTTTAACTCCTTGGCGATAACACCATCGCTCAGTCAGCTTGAATTTATCCATGGCCTTCCTAAAGAATGAATTATTTTACCCGTCCGTGAACACCCTTCCCCTGTAGCAATTCGAGCCCTCAGAGGTCACTGCTACCTCACCGTGGATGCAACAGCCGTACGCTTGTGATTTTTGCGACTTCTGCACCATTGGCTCACTTAGGTCACCGAATATAGAGCTAGGCCATGAATTCTTGCATAAATACAGCTTCATCGATTATGAGTGACTTTGACAAGGAAATAACCTCCTCAATTCTTTTCAACACTCTCTTCACGCCCTCACACTTAACCTCCACTCATTACGATCCACACCGCCACAAAGGTTCTGCATTGCTGAACTCCGTGGGATAAAGCAAGTCCAGATTGATACTTGCCATGAAATCCCCAACTATCGCCGCAGCTCTGCTGCTTGGGTCAGTAAATGCTGCTGTTCACCGAATCGCCTTGCAAAAGGTATCTCTCGAGGAGCAGCTATCCGGTGTAAGTCTAGATACGCATGCAAAGTACTTGGGACAGAAGTATATGGGTATTCGACCCCAGTCTCATTGTCATGAAATGTTCCGTGAGGCTCCAATTTACAATGGGGAATCAAGACATCCGCTCCCTATATCCAATTTCATGAACGCTCAATGTAAGTTAATCCCATGAAATTCTAAAGAGATATTCCTGAGACTTCTGCAAGACTTCGCAGAGATTACTATTGGAAACCCTCCACAATCCTTCAAGGTTGTCCTTGATACTGGCAGCTCCAACCTATGGATTCCTTCTCAAAGTTGTAACTCCATAGCTTGCTTCCTCCACAACACATACGACTCTTCCTCGTCGCAAACTTATCATAAAAACGGAAGCGACTTCAGCATCCACTACGGGTCTGGTAGCCTGAGTGGGTTTGTGTCCAAAGATGTTGTACATATTGGTGACATAGAAATTAAGGATCAACTGTTTGCTGAAGCAACAAAGGAGCCTGGTCTTGCCTTCGCATTCGGACGGTTTGACGGTATTTTGGGTCTTGGCTACGACTCAATATCAGTGAACCGGATTCCACCTCCATTCTACAATATGCTCGACCAGAACTTGTTGGATGAACCAGTCTTTGCCTTTTACCTAGGGGCATCTGAAGATGAGAACTCTAGTCCGTCAGTTATAACACTAGGTGGTACCGACCCTAATCACTACTCTGGTCGTCTGATAGAGATTCCACTGCGGCGAAAAGGTTACTGGGAAGTTGACTTTGATTCGTTCACCTTTGGCTCCGAGTCAGTACCACTCGAAGATACAGGCATCATTCTCGACACTGGAACATCTCTAATAACCCTTCCATCTGATATCGCAGAACTTTTGAACTCTGAGATTGGTGCCCAAAAAGGGTTTGGAGGACAGTACAGTATCGATTGCGACAAACGTGACACCCTTCCAGACATTACCTTCAATCTCGCTGGCTATGATTTTACAATCTCTGCATACGACTACATCCTGGAAATTCAAGGCAGCTGTATTTCCAGTTTCACGGGAATGGTATGAAATTCATTATCCTTTTGACTTTCAAATGCTAACCATCTAAGGATTTCCCCAAACCCATAGGTCCTCTAGCCATCCTTGGGGACGTCTTCCTCCGCAGATGGTACTCTGTGTATAATGTTGGCAACGGTACAGTTAGTCTGGCTCTTGCCAAACACTAAGAAAGTGAAATAGTCCCCCTAGCGAGAATACAAGTACAATGAATATCTGGAAATCTTCAAATTATCTATCTCTAAGCGATGTGGAGTAACTGGATTGTTCACTATCGTTTTTCGGTTGTATTTGAAGCCACTTTACTACTAGGCATTGTACATGCCTTCATCGCATGTGGAGCGACCAATAATTACTATTCTGTTCACGCTATTAAAACCTTGAAAGACTATTGTTTATCGAAGCTTAGAATTTAGTTAGGTCCAAAATATTAGTATTCCAAATGTGAATTTGTGAATGTAGCCTTAAGTGACGAAACTTCGCTCACTTAATTTGATTAAAAATATGGTTACCATCAAAAACAAGTATCAGCATTGAATCGGAATATGTATTTTTACCAGAGATAAAAATTATCTTCCAGATATTTTTTAACACCACGTGCTTCACCAAATAAAGCTCTTGTTACCCAGTAAACCTAGGATCGGTGATCACAATAGTCGTCCTAAGCTGCAGGCAGTTAGCTCACAGAAAATACAATGGGTCGCGTAGAAGCTTCATACTCAAATAGGCATATATGACACTACAACTTATATATGGAAATATTTGTCCGAAGAAAATTGACAAACATAGTGTATGAGCCCGAGGAATTTACACAGAGTTCGATGTGAAATTTTCGAGAGGTAAACGACAATAGCTAAGGAAGTATCGATAACTAACAAGGTCATAGCTCTAAAGTGTAACAACAGTACTTATGCTATCGCAATAAATTCTGAAAAGCTGTCCACTATTAACAAATATAAAGCGTCAAAACATCATTTTTGCCAGAAAGCTGCGCAGCCTTCCACGCTGCCCGTATCATCAATTTGACATCGTGATTACTATTTTTACATCTTTATTACCCTCCTCCCATCTTTTCGCTTTCCGTGCTCTAACATGGCGGGTGTGGGTGCTGGTGTGGGTAAATCCAGCGGATTCGACGCGTCGCAAAATACGACAATGGCCCCAACAAATAACGGCAGCGGAGCGCAAACAGCTCCAAAGGATAAGAACCTTGAAATTTTAGGGAAACTATTGAAAAAGGTCAGACTAATCGTGATGGGAGAGGTGGATGAGGAGGACCTACCCTCAATGGAGGACGTGAACGAGGCCGTCAAGGCCTTCAACGCACACAAAAGGGCCTGGACAGAAATGACCCAGAAGAAGTCTCCTATCGAGGAGAGGATGATGGCGCTCGAGGAGGTTGTCAAAAAGAGCCTCGCGGATCCCGCTCGAAAAGCTGCACCAGCAGTAGCTTCGGGCGCGCCGACACAAAGGAGCTACGCGTCGGTCGTGGCTCCGCAAATGACGAAGACAGCGGTTAGGATAAGAATCGATGGCGCACAAAACTTGCAGCCACAAGAGCTGCTGTCAAAGGCACAACAACATATCGAAGGCGCATTTGTAATTCGACAGATGCGAAGCAACGACACCGAGGTGTTTGTCCAGTCGGCGTCCCAGAGAGACGCGGCGCTTAACATGCGACAACCAAGCGAATTTAAAATTTTGCGGCAAGACTTTCCTGTTGAGGTTTCCGGAGTCCCACTGCGGACAAGAATTGAGGGTGGCAGAGATGCCAACAACTACGCCATCATCAGGGAGATTGAGACGGCGACGAAGGCACGTATTCCAGGCCTGGTAATTAGCAGAATACGATGGCTACATGATGGAAAGGAACATTAGCGATCGAAGAAAAACGGTCGCAATCGTGGTTCAATTGTGGTCAGCCTCCCATCGGAGGCAATGCAAACGGAGGTAGTGCGATAGGGCCTTGCTATTAACGCCATGCTCTTCACCGCGCAGGTATGGTCGCCACGGGCTCAGCCAAAGCAGTGTTACAACTGCAGCCAATGGGGATACACGCAGGCGTCGTGTGGAAAGGCAGCCAGGTGCGGTGAGTGCGCTGGCGCTCACCAAACTCGGGACTGTCCGAGGAAAAGGGTTTCTTGTGCCAACTGCGGCAAGGAACATCGTTCATGGCAGAAAGCAGCGTGTCGGACCTACCAGGTCTACAAGGGAAGTGTGGAGAAGGCTCGGATGGAGCTGTTATCGAGAACGGCAGATATTTGGAATGAAAAACCAACAATGGCGCCAACACAAACAGCCAGACCAACTGATGATCAAGGATTTACTTTGGTCACCAGTAAAAAGGCTGAAGTACTCAAAAGAGGGCCAGGACGACCGCGTAAGGTAGTCGAAGCCCCAGCGGCACCAATAATCGCCTCGACAGCAGCACCGCCATCGGGACCTACTCTTCGGACACTTCGAAGACCAACGCCGAGTGAGGAGGTGCCTTCTCTTTTCAATTTCTCATAACGATGGTCTGATTGAAGGGGGAGTTAACGAATTTCGAGGAAAGTTTACATAATTGCGGTTGAAAGGAACGTCCTCAGCATAAAGCCGGGTCGGTTCAAAGTGGCAGGACATCGGGTTTTGTTTGTTGAAAGCTTTTTCCCTTACCAAAGCGGCTTACCGTCTTCATGGTTCTGTATATAGATACCGCATAGGACGTTAAACTAGATCAATGAATGAATGAAATATAAAGCGTCAAATCAATATTTCGTCATAATATACTCAGAATAGCGTTTTTGTGATCATCTGCATCAAAACACTATGCCTCCAGATATTTAAGAGGCTTCATGGCTTAAGATCAAAGCACCTCGCGATTACACAATTTACAGAACTAGTTCTCAAGATGAGCCTTTTATCCCTAAACCAAATCCCAGAAGCTCGATAAAAAATTATTTAGTTCGCCTTCCACAAGATATGGGAGGAAATGCCAGATATGCTGCATAACTGCAAAGCTGATAATCAAGGGTTTGTGAAACCTGCTTGACTTAACACCGGAAGACAGGTTTTAAGCTGCATCTAATTCCACTGGAACAGCTTTCCAGAACTAAATTGCAAGTACTCTATCAGGTCAACAAGCCGAAACACGGGCCACCAAGTTCTCAAAGGTCGAGATCAGAAAAGCTTGTAGGCCGGGTCCCGTGTGCTTTCCAGAGTGACAACTGCGAACAGAGCGCTAGAGAAGTAAATTTTGGCGGTGACTAAGCCTAGAAAGGAAACAAAAGGGGCTTCAAATGTAACATCTGTGAACGATTTGGGTAATAATCGTACGACGGCAGAATTGACAGATATCTTTCAAGGCGATTATGGCATGTATCGTTCCGATCTGAATATGTAAGATTATGAGAAAAATGTCAGGTTGAAGGAGAGAACAAGAGTAAATCAGCGGTTCATCTTCTTCCTAAGGCCTGTTCTTTTGCTTCAAGTTTGTGTCGTTTAGTAGTGGTCGGACGATGATGTAGTATCGAAGCCTTCCTGGCTAGTAAATCTGAAGATGAGGACGTGGAAAGGCCGAATTCGGGCCAATTACCAGATTGCTAGTACAGAGAACGAAAGGAATATATTGCTCTGCTTCCGTTGACTTTTTGCTTGTCCACCGGAGTGAGGTAAATCTCTGAATATACCAATTGCTTCTCCAGCAATCGTGGTCGCGTTTCACTCAATAGTGACCCTCCGATTATTCCGCGTACAAGTCGTTGTAATTGTCTCGGAGATTTCGTAAGCCTTGTTTTGAATAGGGCAGTAGCATTACTGCATTACAATAACCTGTTCAGATTAGAATCATGTGGGTACCCGCCGTGAGGTATGAATGACCTATGTCATCGTTCATCGGCGTGATAAGGCATTTGCCACTTGATTTAGAGGGGCATTCAATGGCTGTTGAAGTTACGGTTGGACTTGCTGGGGCACATGGAGGGAGGCTGGTGGAAGAAGCCAGGATCACGTGAGAATGGATAACACAGACGTGGGCCTGACTCTGGTGGAGCCGCGGCTGAGCTTATCTGAAGCTCGCGGCTCCCAGCACCCACTTTTTTTATCTTTTCTATTAGCTACGCATCGTAGCCTAAGGTCTACATACCACTTCTTAGAGACCCGTATTATTCTCAGGTCAGTCGTAACGGTAGAATATCCGATATTCTTAAGTTCCTTCATTGACCAAAGTCCTTAGAGTAGAAGTCACGAACTTGATTGTACTTAAAGCCAAAGCGGTCTCCTCACATACATTAATTCCAACCATACGTTATTCTAGCTTAGCATAGCTTTTAAACAGGTGGATCGATGCCGCAGGAAATAACGCTTGTCAACACTGAAAAAATGGGCGAATCTAGCTCAGCTTCGTGGCCTCTCCAGTGAGGGCGGAAGATTCGCATGAGACAGTGTTGAGTCTCTGCACTATCGCCCATCTCGTGATTTAGACCAAGTGAGTCCATGCACAAAGACCGCTTTCTACTCACAGAAGCGCAAGTTCTTCGCTTGCTTTCTCGGCTTCGGCGGCTTTCTTTGTTCACCCGGAACTCAGCCTTACACTGATATGGGGCACCTCGGTGGCGTGGGCTAGTTGTCACTATTGCAGATTTTTAGACCATCGAAAAAGCGCGATACACTCATTATATATTTCCTGTGTCTATCGTGCATTCGTAACCCCTGTGGCATCATCACTTTTCTCGTGAGCGTGTACAATGACAAGTGACCTGAGAAACAGGTCTAGATTTTTCAGATATCGCACAGCCGTCAAGAGATCAAGACTTGGAGGACTGTTGGCGGTCGGAATAGAATATCCAGGGATAGCTGGGTCTGTGTGTCAATCTTCCATGGTTAATGACGAACTTTTGGGCACGTCTTTAAGTACTTGTGTCTCATCAGTCAGGATTTTCGCCCAACCACTTTAGTGAGACTTGTTGCGGCAGATAAATCTTGAACTGATCCGTGCTTTGCGCTTAGCTTGGTCTCGAGTCTAGGCAGTTGCTCTCCACTTCCTTCAGAGCACAGGATGTACGAAAGCATGCAAATCTAGTTGAATGGGTGGGGACTAGAAGATAAGCAGAGGGAATGGAGTTTAATTATTTGTATTTGGAAATAAAATAATCAGATGTATCATGGCTAGATAGCTGAACGCACTATGAACTAAAAAAAACAACAAAAAAGATTCTAGGCAGATATTAGGCTGTCTGATTCGCGGAGGGTTTGGTACACAAGGAGCTATTTATCGTCACCCATGACGAAGGATCAATAGCCTTTGAGAGAGAAAGAGCTTGAGAATGCGGAGCTGCAGTGATATGGACTTTATCATTTAAGGCGTCTTCAGCCTTCTAGCTATGGCATATATAGAATGCTTTGTGTAAATTTTTGATGGCTCACCTGGCTTTAGAGATGCTCGTATTCTGAAATTTTCTATAAATACTGTTCGAAGGTTTGTTCGTAGGCGTTGAACAGTCAATCCTCCTCCGTGAATACTTATCAAATGGAAATTCGAGACCTTTTATTATCCAACAGTGGCTGCATCATCAATGCATGCTACCACCGCGAGAAATGTAGTTGAGTTTGCCAGACTCGAGCCGGTCATTCCCTGTCGCAAGTAGACTGTATGTCCAAGTCATACAAAATCTACTTGGGAGACTGGCACAGATGATGTACCACTGCACCACCCAGCCAAAGCGGTATTAAAAGTGTCGCCTACATCCTGCCACGTTAAGCGTTGTACTGTGTGACGGGCTTTGCCCGGATTGAGAATGGTCCGAGTGACCATCCTGTCTAGGAAGTTGAGCCGTAACAAAGCAGCGCATCCGGAAATGCGGAGGGCGCGCAAAGGAGGCATCTAGAGGGGTACGTATCAGATTTGGAGTACTGTGGATCCCAATTGATGGAAACTCGACCGTGCACATTGTGCGCTGTTGACTAGCTCACACGGTGCGGGGGAAGTCCGAGGCATGTTGTTTGTTTGTTTGTTGTTTGTTTGTTCATTAACGTGCTAGGTGAAGTAACTACCGTCGCACTCCTACTGGAGCTTGAGCACGAGTGGGGTCGGGCCGGATCAGGTTAACTACCGTAAAGTACAAGTGCCTCGTCCCACCTCAATGACCGGAACCATGCCGAAACGCATCTATGTGTTGAAGCATGACGAGTACAGCAGCCCAGAGTTGAAAACTAAACAAAAACTTTCCCGCGAAATCCCGCATTACAAAAGGAAGACTAATAAGATCTCCCTTCCATCGTTCTGCCTCAGCCACCACGCGCCTGAGCCTCGAATCCTATCCCTACTTCCATGCCAGATCACCTAGGCTTTCGTTCATCACCTCCGAGTCAGAGGTATCCCTGCCATCCCCCGACTAGCCACCGTGTATATTCCGCTCTGGAGGGCAAGACTGAACACCTGTACGCGGTGTCCTCTACGAACCTGGGAGTGAAATATTCTCCCAGAGCCAAGTTCAGTCAAATTTCGCAATATCAAAGAAGTTGGCCCACGAGGCAAAAATCCAAATTACTCATCCACTTCGTTATTTCGCTCCCAAAAAGTTTGACCCCTATCTTCGTCTCATCGAGTCTACAAGTACGACCAAGTACATCCTCATTCCAATGACCACACCACTCTTCGACCTTCTCTGGCCTCAGCTGGTCACCAAATACACGCCCACGCCGATATTTATACCCGATGGAGGAAGCAAAGCGTGGCGCACAAATCTGGGAGACAGTTCTTTGGAATGGACGTGAGAGGGATTAGGACAAGTTGACAAGATGATACAGAGGAAGGATATAACTTCGAAGGGCATGAGACTCCGAATTTTGGTAAGGAGTTTTTCGAATTGGGCTTTGTGCGCGCCAAGACTTCGCTTGCGAGAGTGCAGTTGACACTATAAAAACAAGCAAACGATGGAAGGTGTTGTGGTCCGCCTCCTGGTGGTGTTCTCCGGTATAGTTTGAGTAGCCTGGGCACCTACTCCACTTGGGAAGGAGATATCTCAGACCATATTTCGCGCGGAGAAAAGTTGAAAGATGATGGAGGCATGTCTGGATAACTCAGGGTTTTTGAGACGTTCCCCTAGGTGGGTATTCACGGATGAGGGTTGACTTGGGGTGAAGAAAAGCTACCATAACTTCGCATTGGTACTTGCAAATGAAATCCGAGGCATGAGTGATACTCTTGTAAATTGGATCATCTATCGTGCACTTTTCTTTGATATTGTGTCATAGCTAGATAGCTGCATACGCAATTAAAATCTGATGCAAAAAAAAATATTCCGCTCTCCTGGACGTAATCCCTGAACAGCTGCCATCCATTTGATTCGAGCATTGTTTCCAGAGCTGGTGTCCTTCGCTTTCCGCTTTTTAGCCGCCAAGTTGCCAGTGCTTTTCGACACTGGGCAAGGTGACCGATTGATTTTTCTCTCCCACACTCGCAGTGAAGTGTAGCGTCAGTGTGGTTGAAGCGGCGATGATAAGCCGCGAAGTCCCCATGTCCGGTTCGAGCGGCTATTAAGCGAGCGTAGACTGCCGTTGGTAGTGCTAGTTCTGGCGGTTTCTTGCGTCATGAAATCCGAGGCATGAGTGCTCCTCTTGTAAATTGAGGCATCTTTTTTGTACTTTTCTTTGATATTGTGTCATAGCAAGATAGCTGCATACGCAATTAAAATCTGATGCAAAAAAAAAAAAAAAAAAGCCAACCTGCACCAATACACGTGACTAACTATCAACATATTGTGATCTCTCTCCTGACCCATGTACATACCAAAACAGTGATGCGACAAATTATTCATTATTGTTAGAATTTAGAATAATTGGGGCTATCAAGTAGGCCATATCGCTGATATACACGTGACTACAAATTCAGTACTTAGTTTCACTTCGGTAGTTACTTGAATCAATGCGCTCCACAACCTCAATGACTGAGGGATCATTATTTCCTTAACAGGTTATGAGCCCGGATTGTCGCTCGCGCAATCACGTAGTATCGTCCGGAGTTTGATAATATCTTCGTCATGGGCAAGTAGAAGGGCATATGCTCTACTTGCGCCAAATTAATCCAACTAGGAGGCTGTCACCTTCTTGAACCCATGACAAGGCCATCGCATTTGAGTTGTAACCTCTGAGAAAAGTGAATGGCCGTCGCCTGAGAAGACAGGACGTTATCGCCTTCGTTGGGAAAGCACAGGTCGAGTACCAAAGATAATGGGTCGTTGCGAAACGCTCGTGAGGATTGATGGTTCCTAAACGCACCGATAGCCAGCCCGTCGATGGACTCAGAGACAGAGCCCATGGGTCAAATGCGTCGACCCGAAATTTAAAAAAAAAAGAATACAAACTGACAGCTACAGTCTGAAAGCTGCCATTTATATTCTCAAGAATACCCCTTCTTATAGTCTTTTCATACATCTAAGCAGAGGGAAATTCGTCAAATTATCCGACGACATAAAAGTCTCTACAATAGCCTAAGTGTAGTGTTGGAATGACGCATGTCACGTGGTTCACTGTAACAGTACATAATATATGATTTGTTAAAATATGATTCCTCTGGACGGGTAATACAGTAGTACTGTTACTGGAATATTGGAAGTAGATTTGATGAAGTATAGGGTTAAATCGTTGCGTGTGTCTTCGTCTCTACGTCTACGCGCTTAATAGAAGTATCGCGATCTCGCACCCTCTAATCTATCGCTCCTACTCTCATCCACACGCTAATATGAAACTACTAATACAGGGTATATAAAATCAACAGACGCCTTACCCTTTTTAACTCCTCGGCAACCAATAACCACAACCCTAACTCCATTATGTTAAATTGTAGGGATGATTATGTTTGACCAACCCTTCTTATAATTTAACATGATTCATTTTTCCTGATTTGGCACCTTGAGGCCCATGCAGGTATTTATCGGAAGATATTTACTTTTAGTAGGATGACTCGATTTGACCTTTAGAACCCTCACACTCGGATTTCATTTGCAGATACCACTCGAGGTTAACCCTTAAGGCGTATAACCTCTTCCGTGCACACCCACCACAGGAAAAAGCATGAAAAACCTGTGGCTAACCGAGTTTGCTTTCATCATCTCAAAAGTACAATACCACCATGGGAGAGTGTGGTGTGTGGGTCTTACTGGGTTTGAACCAGCTTTCTCTTGTCTCGAATGGGGAAGGTGTTTAAACTACCCAGTATCTACTCGGGAGAACGGCCCGGATGGTGTACCACTGCACCATCCAATCCGACAGACAATTCAAGCCGACTAGTCTAGAAAGATATATGCGTCTCATCTAATGCGCAGAGGTTCTAAACACCCTAGATAGATGTAAGATGTAATAATATATACAATTCAGTACACTCTATTCCATTCCACAGCACTAGTGCTTAAGTCCTGTCAACAGTAACTATTATAATTATCATGTTACAGATTGGGGGAAGGTCGACCCTTATCCCCTAGCTTATTTTTTTTATTTATTTATCTTTATTTAACGTCTGGCGGATCACGCGTCAAGCGAGTAACCCTATTAAGTCCCTATTGAGACAAAAGACGCCAGGATTTAATCTCTGGGCTTCTACATGTTTTAAAGGAAAGCAAAAAAGCAAAATTAAACTATTTAACATATAAAGGAGGTGCATTCACATAGCTACTTCCCGCAGTTTGTTAGGCTCTTATTTGTGGTGGTAAGATACTTGCTCGGCGCCATTCTCTGCGCAGGTCAACCCACACTCCCTGTTGACCTCCACTACCGGAAAAATAAATTAGAAAAAAAAGGAGTCTAAATTGCTTATCTTCCTTCCTTCGTTTGCTGGTTTTTCGCGACACTTGAAACCTCAAGATTATGGGCAGATATCTGTGAAGAATCGGGTTTCCTGTAGCCATTCTCCAAATCTTTGACCTCCTTCATATGTGCCAAGAATGAACGGGATCATTTCCGAAGGCGGACCCTGCATTAGTCGTGATCTTCTTTTCGCTATATGACAGAAAAAGCAATGTAGTGGGGCCTTACGACGGCCACATCGGCAGTAATTTGATGCATTTTCATGATTGAGCCGCTCGTGATAGTCAGCGAAGTCGCCGTGCCTAGATCTAGCTGCTAGAATTCGACCTAGAGTGGCGCGCGGAAGGGCAAGTTCTTTTGGCCTAGTGGGTGCTGATTTTATTCCTAGCTTTTCGTAGCCTAGGTGCTGGGGAAGGAGATTTCTCCAGAGGTTGCGAGAGGCTTGCGTTGTTGACTCTTTTGCCCAGCGCTTTAGCCCCGCATATGTGAAAACGAGGTCATCTGGAGTTGGTAACTGGCAGCCATCTTTCGCTGCTTTGTCCGCTGCTTCATTTCCAACTATCGATGCGTGACTCGGAACCCATCGGACCCGGATTTGGCCCCGTCTAGTGTGGGCCAGCCGAGAGTGGTCTTGCCATTTGGGATTTAAGGTGAGGAACTCGTCAAATTGCGCTTGTGAGGACCCTGAAAAGGGGAATAACAGTCGAGTGGCAACTTCCAGATTATCTAGACAAATCCATAGATCTGTCGCGAATTTGGCAGTTGGGAGTGCTAGTGCGGACTTTGCCCCCTCTAGGGCACCTTTTACTTCCGCATCGAAAACTTCGACGCCTTTTCCAAGGGCAAGACTTTGATGCAAGACTTGTACGCCTCCTTGGTATCCGATGAAGCCAGCGCCGCTCAAGCCGTTTAGTTGCTTAGAGCCATCTAAGTAGATAATGATGTCTCCGAAGGGGATGGTCGTAAGAAAGTCAAGGAAGGACTGTTTATTTTCCTCTGTAGTGGTACTGTTCGGTCCAGCCACCCGGGATTTTGCAGCTTCACGGCTCTCACATGGATTCCAAGGAGGAATAGCGATTGCATTGATTTGCTCTGATCTGGGGAGTGAAAGTACACGTCGGGCAAATCTAGAGGTAGCACGCTGTGAGCTGAGAACTCTGTTAGCACGGCGTAAGAGCGGGTGTCGAGGATCCAGACGGCGTAGTCGGACGGTGGCTGCAAGTGCACGGCCATCAAGGGCTATTTCCGGCTGCTGTAGCCCTGATTCGCGATGAAGTATCGCTGTTGGTGTGGTGCGATACACTGGAAGTGTCGCGCGGGCAGAGGCAAGCACGACCTTGGAGAGCTGTTGTAGTAGGGAATCTGCACGGTTTGATATGCGTCCCGTGGGACCTTATCTAGATCTGCCTGGCCACCAGGATTCTGAGGCGTAGTAAACGATGGGGAGGACACATGAATCTACTGCACGACGCAGTAGATGAGGAGGAGCCCCTCTTGTTGTATTACCAAGGGATGACAGAGCATGGCTAACCTTGAGGGCCTTTGAGGCGAGGGTTCGAGCGTGCCACTTAAAGGAGAGCTTTTTATCAAAGAGTACTCCAAGCCAGCGAGTGTATGGGCGAGTAGTATTTTCAGAGACGGTAATAGCGCCAGCACTTACCATGGGAGTATTTGTGGGTTGTTGGTCGAGTCGGCGGCGAGAGAAATGTTGAAGCTCATGCTTGTCTTCGTCAAATTTCAAGCCCTGCTCTATGCCCCATTCCATGGCTTCCTGGAGGCTGAGTGAAAGAGATTCGGAATTTTCCTGGAGGGATGGAGAGGTGTGAAGGAAGGCGATATCGTCTGCGTATCCAAATCTTGTTTTGGCGGTTCCCATGTGGAGAAGAGGTGAAAGATATAGCATGAACAGAATAGGTGATGCTGGCGAGCCTTGTGGAAGGCCACAGGAGACATCAAATTCGGGACCGGTAGAGCCATCTAGACGAATCTTGGCCACGCGATTGGAGGCGAAAGATGCCACCCACTTTACCAAATTATCAGGCCATCCTTGGTCTCTAAGTCGATGGACTAGTCGGCCAGGAAGTACGCTATCAAAAGCACCCCTCACATCAAGCGTCAGGAGGGAGGCAGTGAGCTTTTATCCCCTAGCTTGTTCACCTGTAGACCGATCACGTAACCAGTATGCAGCTCATCAAAGTGTGCAACCAACTGAGCAGCCATGCCATTTATACTATATCAACAACCCATCTCTCATACTGCACACATTACTACTTGTAATGTCGTTGTGTAGGGACTGGATCTCCTACATGCGACATAATGCCATGCTGCCATAATAACTACCTATGCACCAGCTACTAGATCTACCGTACTACATAGCTGAGCATAACAAAATAGAGGTAATGAATTCCTGGGAACTAGCCAAGACTCGACCACCGATAGAGGTCTACTGGATTCCGGGACATAGCAAAAATTCAGGGAATAAAAAAGCCGATGCGATGGCAAAGGCATTCCTTGCGTCAAATAATCGGAATTGAAACAAACCGGGACCAGAGTGTATCTGGGAGGAAACTCACGAAGTTCTGACTTTTGCAGCTCTCAAGCGCCCAGTCAACACCCGGGTACAAATACTTGCGGAAGAATGGTGGCTTAAGAACAGATCGGGTAGCTATGGAGATCTGGACCTACTGATGCGGAGAGAACACCCTCTGGAGCTAGCTCTACCTCGATGGGCATATCACCGCCTCATCGCAGTAAGGACTGGGCATGGTGACTTGGCCAGCTATCATAGACGGTTCCAACACCAGAATGAAGAAATGCTTTGCAAATATGGCCAAGAAAAGTGGCTATGGCATTTTGCAGAATGTCACCCGACTATCCAGAAGTGGAGGATGGAAACGAAGGAAGTACGTCCTACAATCAGGGATATGATAGGGCAAGAAGGATGGCCGAAATTTTGGCGTTTTTTAACTGTAACAAAGTGATACAGCAAGATTATATCCCCTGTTCACGATTCAAAGGTTAACTGTATTGCTTCTTGGGACCGTTTGGTGTGGTATGAGAATTAAGGTGAAGTGCAGGGCGCTAGCATATTAGAAATGGTGTTTTTAATTGTTTTAGTC